CAAACAAACAATATAAATGCCATTTATGTAAAAGTAAAATGATAAACTAACGGTCTGAACAAGTTAATTTTGATAAGGTTTTGATGGAATTTATTGGCTTCTGTCTGAAATGCATACTAGAAATGGATCTCATCTTTACATTCATGTTGCTTGAAATTAAAACAGTAAAGAATACTTTTAAGCAGAGATGAATGACATAACATTAAAAATTATCAATATTAATATTTATACCTTAATATACCACATAAATCCTAGAATTTTGCTGCCATGTATTCTAATTTGCTGTATGGTCTCAAATCTGGCAGCAAAAGTTTGGTGCTATACAAAAAAGTTATTTTCACACCTGGTCAGCATTCAGCAGTTGTTTCGTATGGTGTTAGGCATTGCCTGGTAGGATAACACCAGAATTCAGCAGTTGTTATGCACGGAGTATGTAATGTTACCATTCCGTGATTTATCTCTGTGGAGTAAGAACTGTATAGAACTTAACGTTACAGTTTATTAAGTTATTTGTACAGAATATTCATTGTTTTAAAGCAGAAAGTTGTAGCTGTGTGCGTAAGCAATATGGTAGAGTATATCTAACTGTTTCTTTTATACGTAATATGTATTTTGGTTTAGTGTAGCGTTTACTTTAAACATTTGATTTATATAGAGTATGCAGTGTAGTAGAATATAAAATCACTATTATTAGTTGATCGTCAACCTGAAATTTGTGCTCTTGACTATAAATTCACAATAAAATAGTTCGTTTGAATGCAGTATGCGTTTTTTTATGTTATGTTATCAATGAGCATGGTTTGTGTGGAATACAAAATATCTCTACAACACTAAGCAGTGTAATTTAATGGAATTTTTGTTATTTCCTGGTGTTACTTACTTTTAAACACGTAGTTCGAATAAATCTAATTTACAGTGTTTTGTTTCCAGTGTGGCCTAGTGGTTAGCGTACTGGACAATGAATTCTAGGGTTCATGGTTCGCGTTCCGTTAATTCAAGATGCAAGTTTTAAAACTTGAGTACCATAAACTCATTACTTAATTGAGGTTTATGTGTATGTTTCACAATTATGCTCAAGTACACCCCCTTTTAATAACTATTTTGTACCTAATAGAAGTTAGGCATACAATTTAATTAAGCACCGTTTAGAACTGCCTAGAATTATGTAGATGTGGACAAACAGCCACAGCCTTCCGAAGCGTATTTAGCTGCCCCAGCGTAAATTAAAACATGAAGGGTTTATTCTGACCAGAAGTGATTTTTTTCATCATGACATTTATCTGAGAGTGCTGTGAAGAACGGTATAGTATTAGGTCGTCAAGAAATTAATGTCGCGTTTTGGAACATTTTTCATTTACCACTCCACCCCAAAAAAAAAACGTACATCACGTATAATAGTTAAACGAACTGCCTAAACGTCACGTTATTCTAGCCTGTATAATGTGTAAGGTTTAGTATAATCCCTTATAGTGATGACACACGACGAGACACACATTCGGCATGTAATGCTGTTTGAATACAAGAATGGAAACA